TATGAAACGACCACGTTGCATCCACAACGCGTAACGGTTTGGGCTGCAATTAGTGCGCGCGGAATCATCGGCCCAGTGTTTATTGATAGCAACATCACTGGCGCTTCCTATCGGCAGATGTTGGAAGATGAAGTCTTCTCTGTCATGATGGCCATGCCCAATTTTAAACGTTTCATCTTTCAACAAGACGGAGCGAAGCCGCATACCGCCGATGAAACGTTGTTGTTTCTGCGTCAGATTTTCAGAGGGCGCGTCATCTTCAATCGCTTCTCTGCTCTGTTCAAGTGTGGATGGAATTGGCCGCCGTATAGTCCGGATTTAAGTCCGCTTGATTATGAACTTTGTTCATAGATTAAAACGAGTTGTTGAAAATGACGGTGGTCACATCGAAAATATCCTAAAATAAGCTTTCTTTTCGTGTATAACAAATAAAAATCGGTTCATTTTTGTAGGAGTTTTTTATGTTTGTTGCGTGAGCGTTTAATCTGAAAGACCCTGTATTAGCGACATGAGGTCACCCGGGCACGTAACACCTCATGTCGCTAATATTACAGATGTTTTCACATATACAACCGTAACACGTTTGCTAAGAGACAGCTTCTGATTCATTATAGCGGGACGCGGAACGCACTTTTGATTTGCTAAAATATTAGGCCAAACAAAAATAGCGCTAATCAAGTTGTGCCACGTCTCGCTATGCTTGTTAAGCAAAGATGCGCATTCCAGTGTATATACAGTTCAGTGGGCTTCTCAGGCTTCTCTCTGATACTATACAAGAGAGAAAGACATGACATAATTGACAATAATAATATTTTTCCAATCTTCGAAAATGTTGGTGTAGAATTCTTTTTTGTTAATTTGATAACCTAAACCATTAATTTTATTAAGTATTATGCCATATAAACTTAAAATAGAAGCAAAGAATATACAAATATTGTAGTAATCGATATCGTTACTACAATCGAATGTCATCCTAGCAACCGATACACAATCATTCAATTATTTCTTAACAACTATTCTCTTGTTCGTTGTGTATTTTCATTCATTTCAGGTTCATTCCTGTAACCATTCACACGTTTTAATAAACGACTCAAGTTTTCTTTTAAAGAACAAAGTTAGTTTATTTTTGTGAGTGAATAAACATAACAGTTTTTGGCGACGAGGATTATGGAAGGTCTCCGTGAGATATCAACGCCGTTGTTGCAACAGCAACAGCAGCAACAGCAGCAGTTTCAGCAGATGATGCAGCAGCAGTTTATTGCTCAGCAACAGGAATTTGCAAAACAAATCGCCAAGATTCTCAATGCTCCTTTATCCGCACCTGTAGACCTGGAAATTAAAATGGATGCGTTAGCCAATTCAATTACAGAATTTATTTACGATCCGGAGAATGGTTTGACTTTCGATACATGGTATGTACGTTACCGAGGATTATTTTCCGTTGATGCCCATGCATTGGACAACGCAGCAAAGGTCAGATTACTCCTACGTAAATTAAGCATGACAGTTCACACAAAGTATGTTAACTACATCTTGCCAAAAGAATATACAGATTTAGATTTTGCAAATACAATAAAAAATCTTACCAAAATGTTTGGAAAGAAAATATCGCGTTTTCATCACCGATATAATTGCCTTACTGCGTCGAAATTAGATCAACATGATTTTTTAACATATGCTGGCTTGGTTAACAAACGGTGTGAAGAGTTTCAAATCTCGATAACTACTGCAGATCAATTTAAATGTTTAATGTTTATTTGTAGACTACGTTCTCCATCAGATACTGACATTAGAACTAAGTTATTACACTTAATTGATATTAAGTCAGACTCGCTTACCGTTCAAGATTGACTGTGTGTTCGAAAATAGAGTCAGTTACTGCCAGTAAAAACAGTGCTGTTGGCAGCAGTGAAATTTACTGGTGCTGCGTTTCGTGTCTTCTAGCAGTAAAGCCAGTAAAATAGCTAAGTAGTTCGAACGATAATTTTGAGGTTAAAAAGAATTGTAGTAAGTAATTCTTTTAGTGTTATGGATTACAAGTGTAAAAAAATGAAGAGATCTGTGCAATTAAAAACTACTTTTCTACATGAGAAAGTGGATAATAGCCAATTGATTGATCTAAACTTAATTGATGAATCAACAAATGTAGAATACATTTTAAAAATACAGAAAGAAGTGTATAATCGTGCGCATAATGGTATAACATATAAGTGTATTATAGTATAATCTATATATATATATATATATATCAATAATAGTAATAGTAATAATTATATTTTTGATGTTTCAAAAAATGAAGATAATTGCGATAATTATCTTCTTATATATATAGAAATTATTTCTAATAATAAATAATATTTATTATTTATTATCCTTATACATATATTTATTCTTTTTTACAGATGTGATATTTGCTACTACATTATTAGAAAAAGCAAAGACATTACTTAATTCTAAAGATATACATAGGTCTGTTTCATCAATAAATATGGAAAACATAAGTAGATCAAACATAACTGTAGGTTCTAATGACACTATTGATACAACTTCTGACACTGAAAATGTTTCAGACACACCAGATACAGGTAACTTTAAATAATAGTAAGTAATAATTGTATGGAGATAAATATAATATATTAATTTTTTTTTAACTTTAGAAGAAAATAAAGTAAAATGGGGCCATAAAGCAATACTTCTCTTATATCTTTATATAAAGAAAAATCATATATGCTAGAAAAAGGTTCCCATAAAAAAATGTGGATCAAAATTTCTCAATGCATGAAAGAAAAGAAATATAATTTTACAGACAGTCAATGTAATGATAAAATGGATGCATTAAAAAGACAATATCGTAAAATTGTTGATCATAATGCTCAAAGTGGAAACGATAGAAAAGAATGGATATATTTATCTGTAATATATAAACTATATTGACACAATACTATAGTTATAATTAAACACACACATAATATATATACATTTATGCTTTAGATATTAGATGATATTTTTCAAAAGAAACATTGGATAAAACCATTATCTGTAGCAGGATCGCATCTAAAAGAATCCGAACATTCACCTATAACTGATAACACTGACGAAAATGAATTACCAATCAGTAAGTAACTATAAAAAACATTTCTTTTAAATGTATACTTTTCTATTTTATAACTAATTTTATGTATAGAGCAAAAAAAGATCTCATTAACTGAGGCAAAAGCAAATTATTTGAGACTTTTGTTAGAAGAAAAAAGGTTAAAAAGAGAAGAAACTGCTAATTACAGAGCTACAAAGTTACACAAATATTAAGAGAAATAAAAGAAGCATTTAAAAACCAGAAACAACAATGTGTACAAGAAGAAGAAGTGTAAAAAAAGCAAAAACGTTCGTGCAAAAATCATTAACCGTTCTAATTTTTTTGTTGTAATCAAAAGCTTTAAAAGAGTTACACTATTTGAAATATTAATATATATTAATATAGTCATTCTTGACTTTATTTTTGTAAAAAATATATTTTGTTTATTAATGATGTTAATAATTTATTTAGTAAGTTAAAGTATCATATTCAGATTTAAGTATGTAGTAAATGTGAAGTATTGTAGTTCAGTTTTAACTCGCACTGTGATGTTATATAAAATAATATAGTAAAAATTTAATTTTTCAGTTTTTTTTATATAGAGATTATGTTTTTATATATGAAAACATTTTTATGTATACAAATTGAAATAAATTTGTATATGTAACTTAATAAAAATATTATGTTCTTTTTTTTAACTAAAAAGTGGCTAAGCCACAGTTTTTTATTTCTTGTTGTTAATTGTTCAACATAAAAAGTATAAAAACAAAATCACATAAATATATACATGTATTTTATGTACTATAAAAAAAAGACAAATATATAATAAAGACATATGTATGTATATTTTTTCGGTATGTAATTATTCTAATTTATTCTCCTAAAATTATCATTAGCAATTATTTCCATCAACCTATTTCTTTTAGCATTTCGTTCTTCTTTCAAGATATTAGAAATATTTAGCGGTTGCATTTTATATAATATTTCAGGAACAATAATAGGGATTTCAATACAATCATTTCTTAATAAAAATATATTATGCAATACACAACAAGTAATTATGTAATAAGGAATTAAATTTTTGTTCTTGTCATAGGCAATTTATTTAATAAATATCGCCATCGTCCTTTTAACAATCCTATTGATTTTTCTACAGTTATTCGGGCAGATGATAAACGATGATTGAATTGTTTTTGTTCTCTAGTTAAGTGACCATTATCATAGAATGGCACCATGACAGTTTTTTGGATACTGTATGCTGCATCACCTAATAAATGGCTATCGCGAGGAAAATATTCTGGNGTACAATATTGTTGTACACCAGAATAAAGAAACACGCGCATATCATGAACGCATCCTGGCATTCTAGCAAATACGTGAATAAATGATAAATTACTATTACATATTACCTAAAAAAACCATAATTTATTAGCACAGTTTGTTAATTCTTTAAACTAAAATACATCAAACTTTGTAATCTATATTTATTCTCTTTATATAAAATCAAAAAAAGTAAAATTGTTATTCTTACTTGTAACTGTACAGAAAATCTGTCTTTTCTGTTTATATAACTATTAGCGTCTTCTTTCGGCCGAGGAATGTTTATGTGTGTTCCATCAATAATGCCCAAAACCTTAGAAAAGCCATACGATATCTGAATATTTGTCCAAGTATTTTTAGCTTCTTCATAAGTAGGCCATTTAATAAACAAATTGCGAATGCTATATATTACTTGAACTACTCTCTTTACAGTGAACCAAGCAGTTGATTTGGACACATTAAATCGTTTACTTATGGATCGATACGAATCTGGTGTTGCTAAGACATAAATAGTAATCAGTAGTTGTTTAGTAACATCAATTTGTTCTTTTCCTTGGAATGGAATATTATTCAAGTTTGGTCNAATTAAATGTAGCAAAAAATTAAAAGTATTACGTTCCATTCTGCAATAAAAAATATATACTTATCATTAGCACTATTATTATATATATGCTATTATTATATACTATTATTAAAACACTATTTTTTATATACCAATATAGCATATACACAAACCTAAAATGCGACTTAAATTCGACATCTGTGTATAGTGCAACAACATATTCCATATAATTTCTAATTTTTCGTATTTTTCTTTTATCATTGTTATTATTTATTATAATATTTAATAACTCATTATCGTCGCTGTCACTCGAAGACAATTCACTAGTAGAAGATTCNAAAATAATATTGTCCAATAAAATATATTTTTGCATAATTACTCACTATTTATTCTATTAAAAAAAATAGTCTATCAAACAACTAAAATCGAATTTGATGTACTAAAAATCTAAAATAATAAATTAATACAATTAGTTTTTAACCTCAAAATTATTGTTTGAACTACTTAGCTATTTTACTGACTTTACTGCTGGAAGACACGAAACGCAGCACCAGTAAATTTCACTGCTGCCAACGGAACTGTTTTTACTGGCAGTAACCGACTCTATTTTCGAACATACAGTTAGCCGTCGAATGTCAACGAATGGTTAATCTTAAACACGATAATTCGATGGTGCAAAATCAAACCGCAGACGTTGGGACGGTTGCTCTTGTGCAATCTAAAAATTTCCATAAAAAAGGGAAGTTTAAAAATGGTCAGAAGGAGCAGGGTAAATTTAACAAAAACAAAAAAAATTTGTCTGACAAAAAACCTTCGACACCTTGCTGGTTTTGCGGTAACTTACATTTCTCCAAAGACTGTACTTTTAAAACACACAAGTGTCAAAAATGTAAAGTTGTCGGTCATAGAGATGGTTATTGCGCGTCCAGTAAGAAAGTTAAACCCAAGTCTGGTGATAAAAGCTCTGAAACAAGCGTCAAGACAATTCATTCAGTCAATCAGATTTTAACTGGTTCGAGTCGAAAATATATTGATATTTTAATTAATTCAAAGTCTGTAAAGCTTCAATTAGACACGGGTTCTGATCTACCTATTATTTCAAATCAAACATGGATTGATCTCGACAAACCTTCAGGAACGATCACTTCGCATGTTGCTCGAGATGCATCCAGCAATTCAATTCATTTCACTCAAGAGTTTACCTGTACAGTAGCTTTTCAGAGAGTCACCAAGCAGCTTCAATGTTTTGTAACTTCAAATCCAGCTTTGAATATAATGGGGTTAGATTGGATCTCTGCATTTAATCTGTGGAATCAATCATTGAACACTTTTTGCCATTTAGTCAATGTCAATAAATCGCAATTCGATATCACCGAATTTCAGCGCAGATTTCAAGATGTTTTTGCAAGTGGTTTGGGGCGTTGCACAAAAGCAAAAGTCAAACTTTATTTAAAACCAGATGCTAAGCCGATTTTCAAGCCGAAGCGCCCAGTCGCTTATGCAATTTTGCCGCAAGTCGATGCTGAGCTCGATCGTCTCGAGCAAAATGGAATTATATCACCCATCAAATATTCACAGTAGGCGACACCGATTGTTGTGGTACGCAAAAAGAATGGCTTGATTAAGATTTGTGCAGATTTTTCAACGGGACTTAATGCTTCCTTGGAACCTAATCGTCATCCACTTCCTTTGCTAGATGAATATTTTCACAGCTGTCAAATTGCAAATATTTCAGTCACTTAGATTTGGCAGATGCCTTTTTACAGATTGAGATTGATGATGAATCAAAGAAATTTCTTACAATCAATACTCATCGTGGTTTTTACGTGTACAATCGTATGCCTTTTGGAGTCACTGTAGCTCCTGGANAGTTTCAAGCCATTATGGACTCCATGATTTCTGGCTTACCAAATGTTTTTGCTTACATTGACGACTTAGTTGTTGGTGGAGAAACAATTTTGCAGCATAATCGCAATTTAACACGTCTTTTAGAGCGTATTCAAGATTATGGCTTTCGACTACGACTTGAAAAGTGTACCTTTTTCACAGAAAAGATCAATTATCTTGGTTACGTCATTGATGGGCAAGGATTACATCCAGATCCGCAAAATATTTCAGCCATCATAGATATGCCAGCACCAAAGAATTTAAATACTTTACGGTCTTTCTTGGGAGCAATTACTTATTATTCTCGATTTATTCCCAATATGCATATGTTGCGACGACCGTTGGACAATTTGCTTAAGAAGGATGTACCATATTCATGGTCTTCACGTTGTCAGAAGTCTTTCGAACAATTCAAGAAGATTTTGACATCTAATCTGTTGCTCACTCATTACAATCTAAAGTATGAAATCATTGTGGCAGCAGATGCTTCAAACGAAGGTCTGGGAGCTTGCATTTTACATCGTTTTCCAGATCAAACAATCAAAGCAGTCAGTCATGCTGCTAGAAGTCTTACTTCTGCGGAAAAAAATTACAGTCAAATTAAAAAAGAAGCTTTAGCAATTATGTTTGCCATTACGAAATTTTATTGAATGATTTTTGAAAGGCATTTTACTTTACAAACGGATCACAAACCGTTATTACAAATTTTTGGAAACAAAAAGGGGATTTCTGTTCATTTAGCGAATCGTTTGCAGCAATGGGCTTTGCAGTTACTGTCTTACGATTTTCAGATTGAATATATTAAAACTACAGAATTTGGACATGCTGATGTGTTGTCCAGGCTCATTGATCAGCAGAATCGCCCTGAAGAAGATTTTGTTATTGCTTCTATTTAATTGGAGAAAGATTTATCTTTGACTTTGCAAGAGTCATTACAAACGGGGCCAGTTAAGCCGATTACCTTTCAACAGATTCAAGAGGCAACTAAGAAGAGTGATATTCTTCAGGAAGTAATTAAATATACTCTTACTTCATGGCCTCAAACTGTAGAAGAGTTATTCTTGCAGACTTATTTTTGTAGACGTCATTCATTGTCGCTAATCCAAGGCTGTTTTTCTTTCAATGATAGAATCGTGGTGCCGTCTTGTTTTCGTACACAGGTTCTTCGACAGATTCACAAGGGTCATCCTGGAATAGAACAAATGAAGATTTTGGCACGTTCATATGTATATTGGCCAAAAATAGATGCGGACATTGAACAATTTGTTAAGCGTTGCAGAAATTGTGCACTCACCGCAAAGGCTCCTGTTAAGGTTCCTTTATGTAGTTGGACTCAGCCAGCAGCACCTTGGCAGAGAGTGCATATTGATTATGC